ATTCCTGTTCAAATCACAGACAAAACGCAAGAGAGCACTCAGCCTCCTAGTGCAGCCAGCAACCTTTATTAAATAAGTGTAACACAAGTAAAGTTGCACTCACAATTGTAGGTGTACAATATATAATAAGTCATATCATCCCATGTGTGTTGACATCGCGCTGTGAACGTCCCACTCTACCCTCTCGCTGCCGGGATGACAGTATTCATTTTGTATTGGCTCAAATTGTACCGCAAAGGTGTTGGTTTCTGGTATTGGGAGCATTTGCACGAGTGCGAGTACTCATGCAAATGCTCAGTATCGGCTCAGATACTGATACCGGTATCAATGCAACCCTAGTTGCGATACCAGAGATTCTACATGTGAGCTAGCACCAGTCTTTTCCCTTTTTCCAGTGAAAAGGGAATGGTCCTTTCACTGTCACCAAGTTAGGGTGCAGATTTCAGAGGACAGATTTGAGAACAGATGGGCAGTATTGCATTTTTAAAAAGAAAAACGTATTCCTGCTCCAAAAAACTACAAAATCTAAACTGCTGCTGTGCAAATTGTGAAGAAACACAAACAATAAGAAATATAAATAAACAGCGCAAAAATAGATTTCTAAATCCACTCATAAAAAATTATTATATAAAGTGCATAAATTAATAGTGAGTGTCCTCAATTATATTATTATAAAACACCAAAAGTCCATGTGTAATAAAGATCAAAAATTCCCAAAATTTCTTCAAATATAAAGAAAAACTTCCACCTTCCACCCATGCAAAAACCAACATCAAATGCACTCACCAGAACTTGGTGAGTGAGAAGCCTTTAGGTAATTTTAAAGGGATCCAAAACCCTCTTTAGCATCCACTCTATAGAATTCTTCACCATCCGTCTTGAGAACGCCCGATGGGAGGGGCGAAATGCGTTGATGCATTTCCGGTCCATACCTCGTACGTCGGACGTCAATTCCGGTGAGTGGAGCGCACGCTGAATGGTGATTCCAGCGGCCATCTTTGGGAGCTGTGTTGGTCTGTGTGGATTCACTGCTCTATCCTGTGGCTGATGTGAGATTCCTGGAATAAGAAGGCTGTTAAAACGCTCATGTTTCATCTGGAGGCTTTTATATTTAATAAATCTGCCTTTTACAAGTTGCTGACATGTGAGTGACCCTAATCTCTGTTTGAAAATTTTATTATTATTTGGCAATATTACACTATTTGAGATTTCTTTCTCCTGGTTGAATGGTGGAGCCTATTCGGATGGTGAAGAATTCTATAGAGTGGATGCTAAAGAGGGTTTAGGATCCCTTTAAAATTACCTAAAGGCTTCTCACTCACCAAGTTCTGGTGAGTGCATTTGATGTTGGTTTCTGCACGGGTGGAAGGTGGAAGTTTTTCTTTTATATTTGAAGAAATTTTTGGAATTTGTGATCTTTATTACACATGGTGTTTTATAATAATAGCATTGCATTTTTATTGCCCCCTGATTTCAACTGTAAAGGTTGTATTCAGCAGGATATCCCCTTTCAATGAAACCAGATTGCCAGAGTTGTCTATAGACATTCTCTGGAACAGGAGGAGTTAAAGCTGCCTAGAGCTGCCCCTAAGCAGGCTTTCACCAAAAAAAGGTTGCTAAAGGTTCCCTGAGCTGTGACTGCTTGACTTTCCATTTGAAGGTGCCTGCATAATTCCAGCACCACTTGGCAGAGCCAGCTGCATGACACCAATTATCTTTTTTAGCTGTCGAAAAGGGTGGCATATCTACTGTAGGGGGTGGGGAATTGTATTTTTATTGCCCCCTTGTTTCAACTGTAAAGGTTGTATTCAGCAGGATATCCGCTTTCAATGACACCATATTGCCAGAGTTGTCTATGGACATTCTCTGAAACAGGAGCAGTTAAAGGTGCCTAGAGCTGCCCTTAATCAGGGTTTCACCAAAAAGGTTGCTAAAGGTTCCTTGAGCTGTGGCTGCTTGACTTTCCATTTGAAGGTGCCTGCATAATTCCAACACCACTTGGCAGAGCCAGCTGTATGACACCAATGATCTTTTTTAGCTGTCTAAAAGGGTGTCATTACTACTGTAGGGGGTGGGGAATTCTTCCTACTGGCCACCAATGTAAGAAGACCTTTTCCCTGACCTCCAATAAATTGGTTTTTGCAGGGTTTCCCCAAGACCTGAAAATGATTTAAAGGATTCCTCTTGAGTAAAAAAAGTTTAGAAATGCTGGCTTAGAGATATAGAATCAGTTTTGCAGACTGATTATACTTTTGTATGCACTCTCCAACTTTATTAGGCATTCTTCTGGCCAAACCATTCCCTCATTGAGTTGGGTTTTCCTGCATGATTGCTATTGTTTCCTGCGAGAGGCTGCGCCATGTGTGTAGTCATTAGAGATGAGCAAATCGAACCTGGCGAAGTGGAATTCGTTTCGAATATTAGGAAAAATTCGATTTGCGCCGAATCCGAATATTAGCAAACTTCGGATGCACGAATCGAATTTTCCCCGATCGGCCGATTTTCATCCCTTCTACAGCCGGCAAAAAGTGTCCCTGCAGAGAGCTCCGCTATTTCTGACAGTTCTCTGACAGTTCCTTCACATTTACAGCAGTTGAAACATTGTATCTATTTGTTTCCATTTAGGATACAGATGTTTTTATTCGAAAAACAAATAGATACAATGTTTCAACCGCTGTAAATGTGAAGGAACTGTCAGAGAACTGTCAGAAATAGCGGAGCTCTCTGCAGATACACTTTTTGCTGGAATGGAATTCTTCTTCATCCTCATCCTACTTCTTCTTCTTCTTCATCCTCATCCTAGTTCTTCTTCTTCTTCTTCTTCATCCTCATCCTTCTTCTTCTTCTTCATCCTCATCCTACTTCTTCTTTTTCTTCTTCTTCTTCTTCTTCATCCTCATCCTACTTCTTCTTCTTCTTCTTCATCCTCATCCTACTTCTTCTTCATCCTCATCCTACTTCTTCTTCTTCTTCTTCTTCATCCTCATCCTACTTCTTCTTCTTCTTCTTCATCCTCATCCTACTTCTTCTTCATCCTCATCCTACTTCTTCTTTTTCTTCTTCTTCTTCATCCTCATCCTACTTCTTCTTCTTCTTCTTCTTCTTCTTCTTCTTCATCCTCATCCTACTTCTTCTTCTTCTTCTTCATCCTCATCCTACTTCTTCTTCTTCATCCTCATCCTTCTTCTTCTTCTTCTTCATCCTCATCCTACTTCTTCTTCTTCTTCTTCTCATCCTACTTCTTCTTCTTCTTCTTCTTCTTCTTCTTCATCCTCATCCTACTTCTTCTTCTTCTTCTTCATCCTCATCCTCATCCTTCTTCTTCTTCTTCATCTTCATCCTACTTCTTCTTCTTCTTCTTCTTCATCCTCATCCTACTTCTTCTTCTTCTTCTTCTTCATCCTCATCCTACTTCTTCTTCTTCTTCTTCTTCTTTATCCTCATCTTCTTCTTCTTCTTCTTCTTCATCCTCATCCTCCTTCTTCTTCTTCTTTCATCCTCATCCTACTTCTTCTTCTTCTTCTTCTTCATCCTCATCCTACTTCTTCTTCTTATTATTATTCTTCCTCATCCTACTTCTTCTTCTTCTTCTTCTTCATCCTCATCCTACTTCTTTTCTTCTTCTTCATCCTCATCCTACTTCTTCTTCTTCTTCTTCTTCTTCCTCATCTACTTCTTCTTCTTCTTCATCTCATCATCCTCATCCTCCTACTTCTTCTTCTTCTTCTTCATCCTCATCCTACTTCTTCTTCTTCTTCATCTTATCCTACTTCTTCTTCTCCTTCTTCTTCATCCTCATCCTACTTATTCTTCATCTTCTTCTTCTTCTTCATCCTCATCCTCTTCTTCTTCTTCTTCCTCTTCTTCATCCTCATCATCCTACTTCTTCTTCTTCTTCTTCATCCTCATCCTACTACTTCTTCATCTTCTTCTTCTTCTTCTTCATCCTCATCCTACTTCTTCTTCTTCTTCTTCTTCTTCATTCATCCTCATCCTACTTCTTCTTCTTCTTCATCCTCATCCTACTTCTTCTTCTTCATTCTTCTTCTTCTTCTTCTTCATCCTCATCCTCTTCTTCTTCTTCTTCTTCTTGCCATGGGCCCCTGTACCGCCTCCTCATGCTGCTGCCAGGTCCAGAGTGTGTCATGGGTCCCTGTACGGCCTCCCATTGCTGCTGTCTCCATCGCCACACTCTGCCATGTGCCACTTTTAGGTCTCCTCACACTGCTGGTGGGTTCCATTTTGTCATAGGGTGCTGTATGGCCTCCCATTGCTGCTGCCTCCACCGCCACACTGTGGCTCCACACTCTGGTTTTGGCCCGTGACTGCCCAAATGAGTGAAGTGTGCGGTGATTCTAAGATCGACGGCACTCATCTGCATGTCATACTGACTGACAGTATTATTTCTCTTCCCCAGCAGACTCCAAGGGCATTTAAATTAAAGGTACAGTGTTCTGCACTAATATAAAGGCTCTCTGAAGCCTAGAAACCCTTTTTATAAGTTAAATTCGCAGCGAATAAATTCGCATCGAATCAAATTTATTCCACAAATTCGGCGAATCAGCCGAATTGAATTTTTTAATAATTCGCTCATCTCTAGTAGTCATCCATAGCCATGAACATGCACATTGGTCTGTTTAAAACATTTATGAAAAGAACCTTCCTAAATAAGATCTTTTGATGCTCAAATCTTGCTTGCCTTCATCTATCTGTATAAGGAACTTAGGGTACAGGCATTGTCTCTGCCACTAAACAGAAGGCACTCTATACATGTTTAATGAGCATATGTGCTGGAGAATCACATGACCCTGCGTCCGGAGAATTTTCTCCATAGGAAGTGAAAAATTCAGCCTGTGCTCCAACATGAAATTGCTTGGCTGATAAGTCTTCAGTATAAAGCAGCATATTATCTAAGGAAGATGAATGTAATTACATGTAGAGGGGATAATAGGACAAATCATGAATTTTACTGTCAATAACTTTCAATATTAATATTACAGGTATGTAACAGAATTTGTAAACCTAGGCAATGTTTCACCTCTGCGAACTTTCAGAGTATTAAGAGCCCTGAAAACTATTTCTGTAATTCCAGGTAAGGTGTCATTGGTGTTAGGTGTCAGGCCCCCTTGTACATCCAGCTGTGTACAGTGTCCGTCTTTGTGCTTGTGTGTGAGTTCCCATTCTTCAAATATTTGACAGAGTTTGTGTTGAAAATGGGGGGAAGTGGGGAGATTTTGCTCCCAAAGTCCCCAAGAAGAAGGACTTTGTTGGGTACCTCTGCCCAGCAGACCTGAAATACCACAGACACATTAGTATTACTCAGTTGCTGGCACTTATATGGAATTATATATTAATATCCAATATTAGACTAAATAAATAACTTAAAATAACTTTTTAAATAACTACCTGATGGTCATCTCAAACTCTGTCATTTACAGTAGCATTCTGATGGGCTAGATTTCCACTTACTCACTGATTGTGACTATGTGTGAATAGCAAAGTAACTCTAAATACATTTGTTTTCTTTTTTTCTTTGTATTATGTGTGCAACGTAATTATTAATAGTTAACATTCCTTCTCCGTAGCAGACCTTGTTTTTTTTTTTTTTGTTTTTTTTATTGTTAACCACTTCCTGTCTGGACACTTTTACCCCCTTCCTGTCCAGGGCAATTTTCAGCTCTCAGCGCTATCACACTTTGAATGACAATTGCGCGGTCATGCAATACTGTACCCATATGAATTTTTTACCATTTTTTTGAGACAGATAAAGCTTTATTTTGGTGGTATTTATTCACCGCTGGGATTTTTATTTTTTTTACTATGTAAATGAAAAATGTCCAAAAATTTTGAAAAAAAGTGTTTTTTTTTTTATAAAATTTTGCAAATAAATAATATTTCATCCTAAATCTTGGCCAAAATTTATTCCGTTATTTTTTTAATAAAAAAAAAAAAATCCAAATTAGTTTATAACCAAACATTATAATTTTTAAACATTTTTTTTTACATTTTTATTTTATTTTTTTTTATATTATTTTTTATTTTTATTTTTTATTTTTACATACTGTCACCCTAGCAGTACAGTGTCACCATGGTGACACTGTACTACTTGTGGGGGGTGATGAAGATTTTTTTTTTTTTTTTTTTTACACTGATTGCTTTTACACCCATATAGGATGTAAAAGCAATCATTTCTCTTTCTCTCTGTCTGCATTCTTGCAAGTCATTGAGAAATACTGAGTGAGCTGTGATTGGTCACAGCTTGTCACATGGTACAAGGCTGTTGTGAATAGCCTTGTACCATGTGACCTCTGTGATCATTCACAGATTTCACACGTAGTAAGCAATGATGTCACAAGTGACATCTTGCTTACTACTTTGCATGTGATCACTGATTCGCCAATCAGTGATCACATGACCGGGACCTCGTACAGAGGTCCCGTCCGACGATCGGTGTTTCACTGTGTCCGGAGGACACAGCGGACACCGGATCGCGGTGGTGCGCGCTCCTAGGGAGCGCGCACAGCTAGAAAAGGCGGGTGCCGTTTAGGAACGGCAACCCGACCTTGGACTGCCACTGCCCTGCCGTTTATAAACAGCAGGCGGACGGCAAGAGGTTAAATAAGAACTGGATGTTGCTTAGAGCCCACAAAAATCAGCATTAAGGAGAATTAGGAAGATTGCCAATGCTGACCATTCTTTTTGAAATGCTAGTTACCTGGTTGTCATACTGGATTGCATTGGTTTCCTGACTCACTGATCTGGAAGAACAGCAACAAGGAACAATGACACTTTTCAAGCACTCATTTTGGTCAGGGTCAATGCCTTACAGTATAACTAAAGGCAAAACGTGTGTTTTTTTTTTTTGTTTTTTTTTGTTTTTAGTTTTTGACATAGTGTAGAGGAAATAGAACACCCAATAGGTTTTTATTGTTTTCCGTGCTCCCATTAGGGAGATTTACCCTACTTTCACTTCTTGTTTTGGCTATGGCACAGGAAGTGAAGGTAAGTCTCTCCAATTATTAATATTCTATTATACAGGATTTATATAGTACCAGCAGTTTGCTTAATGCTTCACAAAATGAGGGCAGACAGTACAGTTACAATACAATCTGGTACAAGGGGAATCAAAGGGCCATGCTCATTAGAGCTTACAATCTAAGAGGAAGGATCAAGTGATACAAAAGGTAATAGCTGTGGGGGATGAGCTGATGGAGAAAGTAGAAATGCAATGTATTAGTTAGAAATAGGATAGACATCTTTAAAGAGAAAGGTTTTCAGGGATAGTCTAAAGGTGGATAGATTAGGAGATAGTCGGACAGATTCGGGCAGGGAGTTCCATAGGATGGGAGAAGCTCAGGAGAAGTCCTGGAGGCGAGCATGAGAGGAGGTGACACAGGAACTAGATAGCAGGAGATTTTGGGAGGACCAAAGAAAGTGGCTTGGTTGATATTTTGAGATACAGATGGCACAAAATAAATACTATACTCTATCCAAAATGAAAAAAAAAAAGTTTTGCCTATAGTTCTACTTTAAAGTATTGATACCAGACACTGTAAACTAGCATTTTGTTGGGAGGGAGAGAGCAGTGGCAACTCTTATACTTCTCTAATGACAAGGTCATTAGAAGACCTTTTGTTAAATGACTCAATGAGTACGTAAGTGAGTAAACAGGTTTTAAATGACAACCAGCATCCTGACTTTCCTCTGATAAATCAGAGAAATGTGACAAGATTGGAGGAGGACTATGATGTCACCAAAATATCTGAGTGAGCAGAGATATAAGTGACAGGCACAGTTCATGTGTTGGTTTCCAAGCAGTGCAATACGGTGTAAGTAAGGGCTCGCTCATGCCATGTACATTGAGCTCCATTGTTCTGCAAAGATCAATGGAGGCTGACTGCAACGGCACATAGAAAACATATACAACGCATGGCACTTCCCCTACAGCTTTTACACCAGTGTGCACAGGCTAGTGCTGGCCATTGATGGGTAGTTTTCCTTTGTTCACATTCCTCCATTTACACAAACAAGGACATTGTATTCTGACAGTGAGACCCAACAGTCAGACTGCACTGATCAGCAGCTGCTGATCAACAAAAGTTTTTCAACTTGTTTTTCTCTGTCAAACAGGGAGGGCCACACACTGATCAAATTTCAGCTTGTCCCTGCTGAACTGGCCCATTTGTGATGTGTTCACGGCTAGCTTATGACTTCTTATGACTAACAACATGGGTTTCATGCACACTGAGCATTTCACCATGGTGCATGAGGCTCTGGTACTCTTGAGCAGGTGGAAGGCACAGATGCATCATCCAGCCCTGCTGCCAGCAGCCTGTAAAATACTATGAGGGGCTGCAAGTTGCTGTTGTTGGACAGTCCAACTAAGTGGTGCTAATATTTAGGGTGACGGAGTGCAGACTTTTTGCTTTCTGGCCATTTGCCCCTGGGCATATACTGCCCTAAATGGTAATACCACTGAGTGTGCCGTTCATCAGCATCAACTTTCAGCCTCTCATAAAGTTTTACAGGCTCCCGACTGTGGGGCTGGACAGTATACCTGTGTCTCCCACCTGCTGAAAAGCACCCCAATGTCATACACCAGGGCTAAATACCCAGTATACATGAGGCATTGATAGTTGAAGGTACTCTGCATTCAAACATGAGAAATTTACATGTAAACCTACTCAGCACTAACAGCCTACCAGCTGAATGGATCTAATTATGACATTCAGCTGTGTTGTTCAGTGAACTGCCATGGCTCACAGCAGAGCTGTACCCAACTGCCCTAGGCACACGCTTTTGTAAAAGTTCCAAGCCTCGTATCTTGTAATTATTTCTAGTAATATGTGATGTTGTAGGAAGCTAGAGGTCTGCTTTATAGTAAAATGTATATAAAGCTATTTTTGTTGGTTTTCATAGAGTAGGGAATAGTTAGAACCCCTAGTTTTCTGATGGCAATATTTCCTAAAGTTAATTCTTGGCTTTGCTCTGCCCAGTGCCCACCTTTGGAGTTGTTTTTTCTTCTACTACTGTGTTTCTCTATGTACAATCTACATACATTCTCCTTCATTATTATCAACATCTATGCAGCTTGAAAGCCTACCTAAACAATCCTTTCAAAATATATCAAGCGGATAGGACCTTCTCTACAAAGTAACTATACAATCAGATTGTAATGGTGCGTTCAGCTTCAGAGATAAAAGACACCAGTGGTTGATTTAGCACCACCTGATCTACTAAAAACTGAGCTATCTCTCCTAGGTGTTCCATAGGATAGAGACTTATTTGAATTTCCTTTCCAGGCCTGAAGACCATTGTGGGTGCCCTGATTCAGTCGGTTAAGAAGCTTTCGGATGTGATGATTCTCACGGTGTTTTGTCTGAGTGTGTTTGCGCTGATTGGACTGCAGCTATTCATGGGACACCTACGAAATAAATGCATGCACCTGCCATCAGATTTACCTCTTAATATAAGCCTTGAAGAATATGCAAAAGATGAAAGTAAGTTTGAAGCTTGAAGTTTTGACACTTTTTATGTAAAGTACTCATTAGGTAGGCTGAGGAGCCCTATATTAGCAATAAAAAATATACAATCTGCCAGTCTCCTTAAGTAGGTTGGGCCAGTCATACATGATTTATTTTCTTTGGTTCACAGCGTGCTCCCAGCATAGAAACCAGGCTCTCACCAAGTTGTCCGGGTCTCATACTAACGATCAGGACCGGGGACCCCCGATTCCCAGTCACTTTATCACTGGCTATCACAGTGATCTCATCCTTGTGTTTTCTTTCTCTTCTGAATGGAGAGAAAAATGCTGTACATTGTATATTTCTCTCCTTGTGGGTAAACCAACAAAAGTGTGTAAAATGTTTTTTAAAAAATAAAGAAAAAATAGCTAGATCAAAGTTTGATCTCAGTCAGTTCCAGGGTCAGTGTTAGGGTAAGGTAAGGGTTCGGGTCAGTATATTTTGAGTAAGATTTTTTTATACAAAAAGCATTTTTTAAAATAGTATTAGTGTCAGCGCGTTTTAGGTAGGACAAAAAAAAGAACAAAATGCAAACTTTTGTTTCCGGGTCCTACTACAGGTACAAACAACATTTAACGTACACATATGTTGTATCGCTGTGTTCACCAGGAGCAGGAGAATTTATTTTGGGTTGTTCTTTGGTGGTAAATTATGATAATAGCAAAAAATATGCAGCTAACTTTAAAAAATATTTTTTTTTTGTTTTGGGTCAATTTTCCTTTGATAACAAAAAGAAGGACCATTTACCAAATGAAAGCCCAATTTGTCCTGAAAAAAAAAAAAAAAACAAGGTATAATCCACCTTGCTTCACCAAGTAGTTGTGACGATATGTACAGTTTTACTAAGACGTGTCAAAATTGCAAAATTATGTTCAGGCATGAACATTTGTTTTACCCTCAGTCATGAAGGGGAGTTTCAGAGTGTGGTGGAAACCTGGCAGGGGTTCTCATAATTTCCCACTCTATTCAAAATTGAAAAAAAAACACTTTTTGGCTTCACACTTTACCACCTGCCCTCCAGAGAATGTACCCCCCTTCCTGACCAGGCCTATTTTTGCGATGCGGCGCTGTGTTACTTTAACTGATAACTGCACGGTCATGCAACGCTGCACCCAAATGAAATTTACATAAATTTCTCCCCCACAAATACAGCTTTCTTTTGGAGGTATTTGATCACCTCTCCGTTTTTTTATTTTTTGTCCTATAAACAAAAAAGACTGACAAGTTTGAGAAAAAACTATGTTTTTTACTTTTTGCTATATGCCCAGTAAAAAAAATAATTTTTTTTTTTTTTTTTTAGTGCAGCAGGCATTCTGACACTGGGGGGAACTGACTTGGTGTCACTGACATCTCCATTGACACCAATACAGTGCTCAGTGCTAATAAAAAGCACTGACACTGTACTAATGACTCTGAGCAAGAAGGGGTTAACCTGTGGGGAGATCAAAGGGTTAACTGTGTGCTGTTTCACAGTATGCTGTGTGTGTCTGTTTTCCACTGTAAGCACACTGCTTTGTATCTGCTATGCAGAGCCATACAAAGCAGTGTGCAGGAGCTGACGGGAGAGATTTGTGTTGTTTATACACAGGTCTCTCCCCCTTCGGAGACACTCGGCGATCACCAGGTGCCGACGAGTCATCACCAGCCAGGACCCAGTGATTGACAGCCGAGGCTGCGAATGTAGGTACGGGTAGGGCGCACACGTGGCGCGTGGCCCGTACCTGGAACTGGAAAATCACATATATATATGTGATTTTGCACACCCGTGCTGCCGTGTAGCAGTATTTCTGCTATAGGGCGATGCAGAAGAAGTTAAAGGATAAGGGTCCATTCAGAATATGTGCGGTGACTGATGTTTTTCAGCACCTGATCAATGCAACTCACCACAAGGGCACATGGAAAACAATTGTGTTTTTTATATGCCCTGTTCACACCCATACAATGGACATGTATTTTTCCCCACCACATTGAAAGGTACAGCAAGTCACCAGACAGCACAATGCATTGCAGTGCAGAGACTTGAATGTAGTGTAACATTATACACTCTCAAAAAAATTAAAAAAGAACAGGAAAAATGGGCACCAACCCATTTTAGCGTGAAGCTAATGTGAACAGGCTCATAATCTCCTGTAATATCCTGCCTTAGTTTTACTGATCTTGACACATTTTATATCAAACTGTTGTTGCTATATCATAAGTGGGTCAGTCTTGCTCTTTAGCAAATGGAGACCATCGAGTTAAAAAATAAAAAGAGCCAATTTGTATATCCAGTAATTTCCTTGCAGATACAACATTAAGCCTGTAACAAATAAATTGCACTTTGGTTCCTGATAGATGAGTGATGTTAATCTACGATGTCTTTCAAGCCTGAAGCTGTACTGGTAGCCATTATTAGATTACACTGTACAATGCTGCGCTCCCCATGCTGCTCAGAAGCAAATTGTTTCATTGCTGTCCATCTGTAGACTGATCTAAATGACGTACATTAGTTCATGCTTGTCTCCTCCCGAGACAGGTCATCGATCAGCCCGCGTTGTAGCAGTGCTCTCTATGCCAGGACCACCAGACATGCTGCAACTGAGCTATGTTGTGCATTCTAATAAACACACATAAAAACAGGAACAAACACCCAAACAAACAAAAATGGCATGCTCTCAGCTCAGTGTATATGCACAATCACAGTCCTAAGCTGACATATTTGTAAAGAGCATTTCATCTGCTTGTCCTTGGCCAAACATTAACTACTTTGTATCTTTCAAGCTGATTTGTGATTGAGACTAAGCACAGAAAAATAAATAGGCCACAAGAATTTGATCAAATGGATGAACCAAAAAAGTGATGTGGGGGCATATCATTAAAATTAGCCTTTGCCTAAGAGCACCCATACACTTTCAGATTTTTAAATTGACTAGCAAATGTGTGCCTTCTCTAGAACTGGGTAATTTCAGCAAAGTGCTACGTGAATCTGTTGCTTTCATCTGTATGAACAAAGCATGGGTTCACCTGAATACTTTCACAGGGGCTGACATATACAACAGGGGCATAAGTACAAGGGTCGCAATTGCGACCTGGCTCAATGCGCCAGGTTCCCCCCTCTCCTCTCCCACCGGCTGCTGTCAGGATGCAGATTGGGGAAGGGGCCAGTAAATATGTCATTTACCGGCCCCCTTCCTTGTCTGAATGGAGAGTGATCACTGATTCTGTTCATTCATAACTGAAGCATAGTAAACTGTGTTTACAATGCTTCATTTTGTGAATGAATGGGAAGTTCTGTATAGAGCTTTTCCTGTCCTTTCATTTTGTGCAGATGAAGCTGCAGAGATAAAGATTGAGGGCTATGCTCAAAGGTGGAACATAAAAGGTCTGTTTAGACTGTTAATATCCCACCAAAGCCCCCCCCCCCCCCAAAAAAAATGATACAAAATAAAATAAAAAAAAAAAACCAAAGATTTTGAGCACTTTATTCAGATTGTGCTGCCCCCTTTTACTATAATTAGAATACTTTATTTTTTGCATTTGATACATCAATATAATAAATGCAAATATAGAATATCTACAGAAATATTTTGTGTTTGAATTGAATTTCACATGTATTTTGTCTTGTCTGACCTGTAAGGTTTCTTTCAGTGGCATATTAAAAAAAGAGCAATTTGATTGGTAGTTATGATGAAATGCCATTTAAACACATTGATGTGATAAAGCACACAAGAAGCACTGTAGTTTTGCATTATTAATAAATCATATTTATGAAGTATGCTCATACAGCATGTTATGATCTACTGCAGTTTTGACTGAGAGTGTACAGTATATCATAAAAATTGTATCAGCACTCAAAATGCAAAAAATCCCTATTCAGGAATTAATTGAGTTACATATTCATCATGTGTAAGAAATTTCTCTCCCTCTTTAGTTGTGATGGGGTTTGTATAGTCAAATGAGGACATGAGCAACTTTGACACTAGTATCATAGCTACAATACATGACAAAAGTTTTTGGACATCTGATCATCACACCTACAGTGGGGCAAAAAAGTATTTAGTCAGCCACCAATTGTGCAAGTTCTCCCACTTAAAAAGATGAGAGAGGCCTGTAATTGGCATCATAGGTAGACCTCAACTATGAGAGACAAAATAAGAAAAAAAATCCAGGCAATCACATTGGCTGATTTGGAAAGAATTTATTTGCAAATTATGGTGGAAAATAAGTATTTGGTCACCTACAAACAAGCAAGATTTCTGGCTCTCACAGACCTGTACCTTCTTCTTTAAGAGGCTCCTCTGTCCTGCACTCATTACCTGTATCAATGGCACTTGACTGGGAAGACTGAATCTGCAATAGGCAAACAACTTGGTGTGAACAAATATACTGTGGGGCAATAATTAAAAAATGGAAGACATACAAGACCACTGATAATCTCCCTCGATCTGGGGCTCCACGCAAGATCTCACCCCGTGGGGTCAAAATGATCACAAGATCGGTGTGCAAAAATCCCAGGACCACACGGGGGGGACCTAGGGAATGACCTGCAGAGAGCTGGGACCAACATAACAAAGGCTACCATCAGTAACACACTACGCCGCCAGGGACTCAGATCCTGCAGTGCCAGACGTGTCCCCCTGCTTAAGCCAGTACATGTCCGGGCCCGTCTGAAGTTTGCTAGAGAGCATTTGGATGATCCAGAAGAGGATTGGGAGAATGTCATATGGTCAGATGAAACTAAAATAGAACTGTTTGGTAGAAACACAACTCAACGTGTTTGGAGGAGAGAGAATGCTGAGTTGCATCCAAAGACCACCATACCTACTGTGAAGCATGGGGGTGGCAACATCATGCTTTGGGGCTGTTCCTCTGCAAAGGGACCAGGACAAAATGAATGGGGCCATGTATCGTGAGATTTTGAGTGCAAATCTCCTTCCATCAGCAAGGGCATTGAAGATGAAATGTGGCTGGGTCTTCCAACATGACAATGATCCCAA